ATCTTGGAATCCAAAGCATTTCCTCCATGTAACTGTAAAGCTGTAATATAGGTATGTATAAAATAAAAAGAATTATGCAAGAGCTTACGTCTTGCTTCACAACGTGTAATTTATTCATGGTTGGAAACATGCGGTGCTTGTCTTTTGACATGCCCTGTCATGTTTTATTTGATGATTTTAGCTGATTTATTTATGCCACCATAACGTTCAGATTTTTGCAATTCTGACCACTATAGCATCCATTCATGATTAGGACAGATTTCTGTTGGTGACTTCTGTAGAGCTCTATGGTGCTTTACATTAGATTACATAGTAGCTCAGTGAATGAAGGGAATATGGTATTCAGATGGTGATTTTTTTTTTTTTTTTAATAGGGCAAATTATGTGTAGGTTGTGCTTATGATTTCTTTGCTATTGAGAAGGTCAGTTTTATATTGGTGAGTTCAAACTTGATCCAGAAAGGCTGTTTTTTAACATTTTAAGTAGATTGGAGTGAGTTGTATTATTGAAGGATAACATTTTCAGTCTACTAATATGTATTGCAAAGCTGTCATTGAAAAAAAAAGTTAAGCAAGTAGAAATGGCCAAATTTTTGCTGAAACGTGAAGCTGGGGAAGGTTTTTGCTGTGGAACCAGGTGATTGCTTTTCTTCCTAGCCCACAGAACAGTGGTTTAGATTTAAAAGAAAGAAGAAAATGAATAAGTGCAAGTAATTGAAGATGGGAGAAAGTAATTACTGTCCTTTGCACTGTCTTTGTAGGCAAATTGTTCCCATTTCTGTAGAAAAAAAAAATATGACCAGTTTTGAGAGAGTTCATTTTAGATCAACACTGTTTAAATTGGACACTTCTTTTTCAGATGTTCTGAAGTTCTTTTATCATTAGTTCATTTACAATCCTAATTCCTCCCTGGGATCCTCTGTAGCATTTTTGTCATACAAACTTACAGAAGAGAGGCGTACAGAACAGCGTTTTACCTGAGCTGCTTTGGGGTTGGGGAAAAGAGAAGTTTGCTCTTCTGTGTAGAACAGCTATTACCGGGTCTAGCACCTACTGCAAGCAGCGTTCAGGACAAACTAGCATGACATGGCAACCGATTGACATAGTGGAACATAGCACTGATGCAAAATCTGTGATAGGCTGTCAGTATCTGTCAAGACAGAAATAAAAAAATTGTGCCTAAATAGGCTGGGAACGTAGGGGAATAAATGGTTTCTGTGCTTCAGCATGTTCATGTGGAAGACGCTGTTGTTAAGCACCGCTCATTCCTTACATTATTCTTATTCCACTGGCAGTTATCTACAGACAGTACACCATCCCTGCAATTAGGCATCTCGGTGCGAGGACGCATTCTTATGACTGAAATCTATGCATCCCTCAGAGATTGCCTGGGAAGCCCGGCGCAGGGCAGTGGAGCCATTCAAGGCAAGAGAGAGAGAAGAAAGCTTTACGCAGCTAGGACTGCACGAGAGTGCTAAGTTGTCTGAATATAATTACTGCACTGACATTTATCCAGAATAGCTGTAATCTTGTGAAACACGCCATGTGATTTTTTTTAATGGCATAAACAGACATGATTTTGGGTTTACATCTTATTAACAAAAAAAACCAACAAACCAGAGTTTTCATTTCTATAGTACCTGACTAAGCTGGCTAACAAATTCTTGATGCTTTTAGTATATTAACATGTGCTGTATAAGAGCATAAGCTGCTAAATACAGCTCAGATGCTGAAGCTGAAAGATGCATAGATAATACTCAGTCTAATGGAAAAAGTCAAAAATCTGAAAAATTGGAGGTAACAAAACTGTTCCATTTTTATTTCTTACTCTTGGCTCTTTATAAAGGGAAAACTGCAATAGACTTCATACCTAACAGAGGCAGTTAATATGCCTGAAGCATTGTGTTCCATATATTTAATAAATTATGTTGTAAGTGGGGGTGTTTGCATAATTCTGAATTATTTACTACAGCATTTTAGATAATTTAGCTTTGTATCTCATTTCTAAACCTACTCTCGATAAGTTAGTATTTCAACCACAAACATTCAATGTGTTAAGAAAAGGGTGATTTTAGGGGAAGAGAGGAAGAAGGAAGGGAACAAAGCAGCTGGCATTCCTTTTGAATTTGAAGAATAATTGAAGATAATATATTGTCTCACACATGCCAGAACTGTCTTGCGGATCCTCTGCTATTATCAACTGGCATATTTCCAGTTACTTGACTTAATAGAGCTGAAGATCAAGCCCTAGTTATCCTGGGATCCAAAGTGACAGAAACTTCAGGAACAAACACCTGAAACAGCTGAATTTATAGGCTTGACTCAGAGAAAAGTAGTAAGTGATGGAGAGATGGCTTTTCTGATTGAACACAGAACTAGTAGTGATGGTGAGAGACAAAATGAGTCATCCATACTAAATGTGGTGAGATTTCTCAAGTCCCCACTGTTTTTTTGTCGACGTTTCTATGTGGTTTGGGATGTAGAATGGGGTGAAGGAAAGAACTATTCAAGCGACAGACAATGTCAGCCTTTTTATTTCAGTATCTTGCTTTTATTTTAACATTGTTTGTAAATTCCAGTGAAATGAGTGCTAATATTAGTATCTGCAGAAAGGTAGCTGGATCTTGATACTCTCTGCTTGCCAGGTATCTATCCAAGTATATTCTACCTGTGCTGTAGCTTGGGGGTAGAGAGAATATGTGCAGCTCTATGCTGAAGTTCTGCTTGCGAGAGGCATTGTAAAACTGGTGCTGTGTGGTTCCCTGTTGACAGCCTCCCAACAGCTCTCCCAAGGAAACGTGCGCAGAGTGAGGCTAAGTGTCATGTGCTGTTCCCCAGGAACTGTACTTTACGCCTAAAATGAAGGTTGTTTCAAATACATGGAAGGTCCAGGGATAATGGCTTTAAACTCGAAGAGGGTAAATTTAAATTAGGTAGAAGGAAGAAATTCTTCACTATGAGGGTGGTGAGACAGTGGAACAGGTTGCCCAAAGAAGTTGTGGATGCCTCATCCCTGGAAGTGTTCAAGGCCAGGTTGGATAGGGCTTTGAGCAACCTGGTGTAGTGAAAGGTGTCCCTGCCCACAGCAGTGGGCTTGGAACTAGATGATCTTTAAGGTCCGTTCCAACCGAAACCATTCTATGATTCTATGTTCATGCTGGGTTTGGCGGGAGGGGGGCATTTGTGTGTCTGCCATACCCAGCCTCTCAAAAACTGCACTTTCCGGAATGCTTGAAAATGGCTGGGAGGGAAGGTTTTTCCTTCCAGAAGCTGAAGTCTTTTGGGCTTACAATCTGTGTAAAACAGTCCTGTACTGATTTTAAATGTTCTGACTGATAAATGTGTTGCACGTGGAAGGTGGAACGTTGAGTTGGGGAAATAGCCACAAAGAACTTTGGTCCATCATTGGGTTGAACAGATGAAAGTCTAAAAAACAAACATACCACACCCCCAAACCCAAAAAGGGTAAAAAAAGGCCAGTTTTTGGAAAACACAGCTCAGTAAGCCTTTGTTTTCCTGCTCTAGACTACTACAGTTCTGAAATATCTACTGAATATAAAAATCTAGGATTTCAGACATCCTCTTGATTCCCTATTGCAAAATGATGAGCCTATGATTGCGTTGCTTGTATACCACTTCTCCTAGGTGGAGATGTAAAATGAGCAAATTGCATGCCATCTTCAACCCAAAAATCTTTGTCTGCTTTTGAAGTGACAGCAGCCATCTTAATGCATGATTTTCACATTCTGGTATTTCTAATCTTTCACATGTCTATGAATTAGTGACTGGCTAAAACCAACCTATCATACATCTGAAGGTAAGGTGGGCAGGAGAGTAGAATCTCATATTTCTACAGCTTTGTGGCCTGGCAGAGTCAACAGCAGGAAAAGCTGTAAAAACCATGCTTCTGTCAGTGAGGTGGGTGGTTCAGACCCTGGGCATACAGCAGAAACAGACTGACAGAAGAAGAAATCTGTGCTGATCTTTGCCAGTTAGTTTTCTGCTAGTAAATGCACTTTTAAAGTCTCTTGTCAGCTGGGTCTTGCAGAACGGAAATGCTATCGCAAAGCAACTAGGGAAATCTTTCTCTGTCAGAATCATGAGTGGAGCTGGAGACATTGCAAAGGTGATACTGATAAAAGAGCATAGCAGACGATAGGCATCTTTTGATGGAGATGTACTCTCGGGTATTTGTTTTTCTGAGCCGCTTCTGTGGTGTTTTCGAGCCTGTCTGTAGCCAGGCAAATGTTCATCTCTAAAACATGAACTACATGCAACTTATTCAAATCTACATTTCATTGCATCTAAACAAAAGATGGACTAAAAAACATTTTGAGCAAATATAGTTTTTCATGTAGTGTGTGAAACTGAACTTTTGAAATTTGTAGGAGTGTGTGGAAGCTAACAAGTTTTGGTTGCATTTGGCGTGTTCATTCATTAATTCCATAGTTGGAATTCACAGATTCAGAATGTAACAAAAAATTTTCCTAAATTCCACAACGTGAATCTGTTCAATTTCATACACTTTTGTCTGACACTCTTTGTGTTCAGGAGCCCACAAGATCCAATAGACTTAATACAGCTTTTAAATCTAGTAGTTTTTTCTCCTTTTCATGATTTATTTGAAATCATTCCATAGCAGTTGTATAAATAAGTGTTTTGGTGGCTCTTTACATGTTTATTTGCGTTTTCATGTAAATAGCACTTCTAGTCTGTAGCACCACCGAGGAGTGGTACTTCCATGAAAGATTTGGAGATCTGTGCTTCTAAAACACTCAACCTTTGGGAAACTCCATTCCATAGCTACAGAAGTGAGTGACTGACATGCTAACCTCATAACCTTCGCATTTGGCTTTAAAGCTCTTTGAGGCATGGACCGTTTCCTTGTTACAGTTTTCTGCTCAGCAAAAAGAGCACAGCATGCTAACAGGGTGCACATCACTGGGGAGCTGATAGCTTTTGTAAAGATGCTAATTGAGTGATCTTGTTATCTTTTTACAGAATCATGTAAACCCAGCAATGGATTTTACACAGACCCCTCCAGGAATGCTAGCCCTTGACAACATGCTGTACTTTGCTAAACATCACCAGGATGCTTATATACGGGTAAGGCTTCTTCTCATCTTTGAGATCTGTGCAGCTGCCTGTTCTCACTGATTACGTCCTGTTTACAGTTGACTTTTAAGAGGAGGTTCACAATCCTGGTATCATTAACAACAAACTCTAGGAAGGCAAACCATGTAATGCTAAAACATAACAAAAGTCTGTAAAACTTTGGGAGAAAGTTGCACAGCGCTCTGTCATCGCCGAGTCAAATATTATAGATAAAAATTTTTGCAAATACTACTTTTTGCTGAAGCCTGCAAAGAGAAGGGAGATGAGCTTGTGCCTTTTTCAGGTGCGTGATGGATGTTCATAAGCTCAGAAATGAGTAATTGTGCAGAATTCCCTGCCCTGCTCTAAGTCTACCAAAAACTGGCAGGGTTTTCTATGGAAAAGAGGCTTTGATGAGCAAATGCCTTGATAAGTGACTGGGTTGGCAGTGTCTTGAGAGTTAAGATGCTATCACTAAAACTACTGCTAGAAGTGAGGTAATGCTTGGAGAAAAATCGGTAAAAAGCATCATAATTCACTTGCACAACCTCTTTCTGCCCCCTGCCCACTCCACTTCCTACATTTGTTACTTCAAGTTTAGTTAAAGCAAGTTATGTGCTGCATCCTTACAAGAAGAGGCATACAGCTGAATAATACCTGCCTGTGAATAGAATGGCTTTTCCTGACCTTTACTGAAGTCGAGTATTTGCCAAGTGTAAACCTAGCAAGCACAGATGGGAGTAGAGGATAGTCTAGACAGTCAGTGTCTTGAGATAGTAGGGGTGGTTTAACTCCTCAAGAAAAAGTGCACATACAGACCTGCTTAAAGAAGGTTGTGTATAGCAAGGAGACAGCAGGCATACCAATCATTTCTACTACAAAGTGAAGACGGAACTTTTAATATGCATTATTGTCTCATTTTTGCTCAAAGTAGAATAGTGTCAAAGCTCTGATAGGTTTGTAAAGGACGTGCTGATATCCAGGCCAGAATGATCCATGTACATAATAGGAGACCACAAGATTGTCAGATCTGCTCTTTAAATATATCTTTCTGCCTCAGTCTGAATCTAGCAATAACTGTTAAAAGAAACTGTTGTAGCATGCAATACAGCAATATTTATCAAACCCTATAACCCCTTGAAATTAAGAGTTATTTCACATACTGGGCAATGAGTATGTTTTCTGGATAAACTATGCTGAAGCGCGTTTTTGCTTATAAAACGCGAATGGGTTACTTTTTCTCATTAAAATTTGGTAAGATCTGGATGGTGCTACTTCATAGGCTTCTTTTGAAAATTCTAAATTCAGAGAATATGCTTATGGGGGGTAGCCAGTGCTCTAAATGAGAGAGTTGTGTTTTAAAGAAGTCTGAAAGAATTTAAAGAATACAGAAATTCTGTTGAAATAGTGCTTTCATTGTCATATCTCAATTTTTTCGTACTTTTCATTTTCATTTTGCAAATGCTGTCTTAAAAACTGGGTTCAGCGTAGCATGTAATTAGCCACTCTTTAGAAAGGACTTGGGTGCTGACTCAGCTTTGTTTCTATAATGCAGTCTTTTTGCTGCTGCATTAGTGAGAATTTTTGCTGTTTTGAGATGCCTGTTTTCATTCTTGTAGGGTTCCTGTTAGGAGAGTGTCTGGGTGCTTCATATATTTCCCCCCTGAGAAAGAGTACATGTACGCTCGACATGCCACACTGAGGCATGCTCAGATTAAATTGCTTGCTCAACGCTGCTTTGGGAACTGCTAACACACCTTGGGAGTATGTTAGCGTAGCTACCCATCTTTCCCGAGTAGTTCTATTTAGTGCTTATACTAGCATCGCTGGCATGGTAGCTCACTGATCTGCGGTGGTCCACCTTGTCATGCTAACAGCATGCTGAACACCTCTGAGATGAACAGTATTGTGCAACTCCTACAGTGTTGCTAGTCTTTGATCGCAAAAGCCACCTACTTTCTATCTTTTCATCTCCTTGACTTACTAGCTGGTGCACATTAGTTTCCTGTGGCCACGGACATGCCTGTTTCCTTCTCATTTTGAATTCCTTACTTCATATCTAACATTACCTTTTCTTCATGGCCTTTGGCTCCTAAAGCTCCTACAACACCAGTTTGCTCTACTTGTACAGCCTGTTGACCTTGTTTATTTTTTCAGATATATTTCCATTCCTGTACCCGAACAGAAATTATCTCTGTGGGCAAGGTTAAGTTTCCACAAGAAATAGTTAGCTATACAAATAATACTTGCATACTGAACAACTTGTTTGACAGGAGCGCATATCTTATTTTCATTATTGATACTAGGAAATGTTTTGGTTCCTAGGAGGAGAGGTTATTTTCAACTGGGCCCTTTGCAATACAGTTGATTGCTGTACCATGGGTTGATTCCTAAGCCCCGAAATGAGGTAATATCTTTGTTGTGCAGTAGTTAAAAACTGATACTGGAAACTAGAGTAGATTTGAAATGATCTTGGAAAATACGAAGTTTCTCCTGACAGAATGTGGTATATTAAGCGAAGACACTATCAGGAAATCATGATGGTTTCACTGAGTCTACTGGCAGTGCTGCATTTTAATGGGCAGCACGAATCGTTGCAGTCTGACCTGCCGCTTTCTTAGGATGCCCCAGCTGCATGACCCTTAGCAAGGTATCTTCTTGTATTACTGAAAAAAATGGATAAGGAGAAGTTAGAAGAGAAGACAGGCAATAAATAATCTCTTCCCTTTTCATTCCTTGTTCTGCCTCTCATAAGTAATTCTGCTTAGAAATAATTTGCGTAATAAATGGGTTAGTTAAGTGGGAAGGATGTCTGAAACTGAAGTGCCCTTCAGTGGGGGGTGGCAGTGGGGCTTCAAAGACCGGTACCAAACAGAAGTACTCATAGGAAGAGTAAATACAGTTGCAATGTGTTGAAGAACATGTGTATGAAGGCAGCGGAGCAGATGGGTAAACCTGCATCTTGAAAACAGAAAGCATTTCAAGGAGAAAACATGGGCATCACACAGTGAAAGAGGAAACAAAAATAACCAAACTTTGTTTCCCTGTTTGACTCTTTCTTACCTACTTCCACACAATCCATTTCTCTCATTCGCCTTTTTCCTGTTGGATACTTGTTCCTGAAATTACAGCAGTATGTTTTCTTTACTTGCTGTCTTCCTTCAAGTAAACACGGTGTTGTTTTTCTTTATTTAGACTTTGAGTTAATTGTTTTTGAATCTCAGCTTCTGTTTACTATATGATATTACTGGAGCCTCCACCAGAAAGGTTGTTTAATGGAGGGGGGAAAAAATACCATGTTTTCTTTGATTTTATGGTGTCCTTAGCTATCATTTGGATTTTTAAAAAAGGTCACCTATTGAATTAGTTTCCTGTTGAGTTAGCTTTTCTTTCTCTTTCTTATTAATTGTCTGGTGCTATCAGTGACTGATAAGCACTGCATTTTTTTCATGTTCCACTTAAATAATGAATTGCTATCATCAGAGGCTTTGGTTTTAAAAAGTATTGACATAGTATATGGAATGAATTGATGGAAGCAGTGTTGAATCTCTGCAAGAAATTTTAAAAGTTTCCACAGGAAATAATTGGCAGCTTCCCAAGATACATAATTATAGGACAGTCAGAGTGTATAGTTAAAGTGAACAGTGAAGAAAGTGATTGGAATAAAGCTTTGTGACAGATAATATCTTTCTGTTGCTGTTCTTTTGGAGCAGACAGGTTCTCACCCCCACCCCCACCCCATCCCCGGTTTCCAAATTACTCCTTTCCAAAACTACTTCAGCTTCGTGTTCTATTAATTTAAAAAAACAAAATTGTAAGTTACCATTTGAAACAGACTTTATTCAGTGCAGACATCTTGAGATTTTTCGTACTGGTAACTTGCAGCAGTGTGCCTTCAAAATTTTCCTGAGTGTAAAAAGGGTCTGAGGAAAGACCTTTACATGGAAACACTATTATGCTGCCACTGCTATTAGTATCTCCATTTATTGGTGCTTTGCCATTGATTTGTTTGAGAATTTGTGGTGCAACACTATTCAGATCCATTTTGTTTTCAAGACACGATGAGAAGAGAGGTATAAATATATGAAACTGAAATGTTTTGTGTGCATATGTGTTTGTAGGTGTGTATTCATTTGCCTGATTTTATTTTTGTATGCATGCACTTCAGTGATTACTAATATTGGTGTGAAATAATGATACTTACTTAATTTGGTGTAAAGTACAAGCTAAAGGAACCGAAATGGAGCACTCCTTTTATTTGTAACGCAAAAAGAGAAATTTGGTAGTTGTTGTCTTGTGTTTAAATGCGTCATGTTTGTGCCTGGGATGCCTCTATAGAAGCACTCCGCACTGGTGAGGCCACACCTCGAACACTGTGTCCGGTTTTGGGCTCCTCACTACAAGAAGGATGTTGAGGTGCTTGAGCGTGTCCAGAGAAGGGCAACGAAGCTGGTGAGGGGGCTGGAGCACAAGTCTTATGAGGAGCGGCTGAGGGAACTGGGGTTGTTTAGTCTGGAGGAGAGGAGGCTGAGGGGAGACCTTATCGCTCTCTACAACTACCTGAAAGGGGATTGTGGTGAGGTGGGTGTTGGTCTCTTCTCCCAAGTAACCAGCGATAGAACAAGAGGAAATGGCCTCAAGTTGCGCCGGGGAGGTTTAGACTGGATATTAGTAAAAATTTCTTTACTGAGAGAGTGGTCAAACATTGGATCAGGCTGCCCAGGGAGGTGGTGGAGTCACCATCACTGGAGGTGTTCAAAAAACGTGTAGACGTGGTGCTTCAGGATATGGTTTAGTGGGCATGGTGGTGCTGGATTAATGGTTGGACTTGATGATCTTAAAGATCTTTTCCAACCTTAATGATCCTATGAAACACTAGCTTTGCAGTTTTGATAAGGTCACCCCTATATGTGCAGTCAATGTTTGTTCAGGTGTTCTTGACAGCAGGCAGCAAAATCAAAGCTACTGCTCCAGTAGCGAGTAGACTGCCATTCCACTTGGATCTTGGCTAA